TACTTGTGAATTTTGATTGTTGTTTTTAACCACAAAGAAAAACAATTTTTTTAGTGGTGAAGTGACGATGGGGGAAGAAGGTGAAGAGGCTCGTTAATTATCCTAGAGTTTTTTTTATCTAATTTTAATTAATAATTTGTTTTAATTTTCGTTTAGATTTTTTTTAACATATTTTGATTTGGTTTTATATTTGAACTAACTAATAGTCTTCTAATTAGAAAAATTTAAGCCCTCCAATTTTTTTAAGAAAAATGGGCCGGAGGCCACCGCCTCTTTTTTGTTGCCATAGGCACGGGCCTGCATACGAGGTAGTTTGAGCATCCGTTTCGAAGTACTATTAATCGACTCCAAACTACTCAAACTATGCTTCGAATTTTCTGTGACTAAAAGAAACCTAAGACAAAAATAAACACAATGTTTGAGATTCAAGAATACACAATGAGAAACAGAGGAATCTAGAGACTAGTTTAATTACCTGGTTCTATTCCCTTTGTTGAACCTGCAAATCAATAACAATAGAATCAAAAAAAAACTCAAAACCAGTTTCGTCTTTTACGCTACCAGATTCAAAGACAAAACCAAAAAAAAAATCGAAACTTGAGTGACAAGAAAAATAGGGTTTTTCTGATTTTCTAGGTTTCTATTTGCTTACTTGTTGCATCGTTCTCGCGGGTCTTCCGATTCTTCTCGTACTCGATGAAGAAATCTGCATATGCTATTTCAAGAAGATCCCAAACTACAAAATAAAAGATTCGATTTTTATTGAAGGGTTTTTGTCTCAGAGAATCATTTAGGTTAAAATAAAAGGAATTTACTTACCTGTGTTGGTTTGATCATGTTCGATTTGATACTCATCCAATAGATGTTTCAGAGTTGCGTCTTTGCTCTTGTAGTCTTTCAAGCATTCCATGATTTTGCTATGAACCTGAGAAAACAGAGCAAAAGAAATAAGATACAGAGAGAGATTACAACGTAAAAAGATTCATGATTCGTGATAATCGATTCTTCAATTGATCGAATCTTACGTAATTTGAGAATTCCTCTGCGTTTTTGCAACCACTAGGAATATGGAAAACATTTTCGTCGTTCATTTTCGAAGACTTTCACAGATCTAGATACCTCACTCTGTGATATTTTCTGGGCTTGAAGAAAGATCAAATCTTGAGGTTTCTTTGAATCGAAAAAGGCGTTCTTGAAGAAGAGAAGAGAAAGAGATTCTGATATAAACAAAAGGGTTTAACGGAAACGAGAGATACCGCGAAATTCTTTTGCTTGTTTGATTGGCATAAATCTGTTTTTGACTGTTATTTAGGGCTTTTTTAAGTCTAGGCCCATTTGTTCTTATTGGGCCGACGTGTAATTAAAATTTTAAGAGTACCGCAAATAGCAAGAAAGTAACGTTATCTTGGGTAAAATGTGTGGTAGAGGAGAAGTTGACTAATGACTAGTGTAATCACATTTTCAATTTTTGAACTCTCCCATTTGCATTTGTTTTTATATGATTATCAAAAGTAATCAAACAACTATTAAAAATTCAACTTAAAGATTTTATACAGTTTGGTTTGAATTGTGATTCAGTTTTTCTTGTCAACCCTAAATTTTAATTTATCGTACATGGCATGGCATTGTTGCGGATATTTCTACATTTCAATAAATGCTAAATTAAATAGAAATAGATAATCAGGTTGATGGCAGAAGTAACTGCGATCGAAAATTCTACCCACTTACGAAATGAAAGAAGTCATTAATCCTTATCTTGATCGATGACTAATCATATAACCATATTAAATACCCAATAAATTTTGGTCAGGGAGAAAAAAAATCATACTTGTACAAAGAACATTATTAATAAATGGAACTGTTAGTCCGAAAAGGTAAAAAATAATTAATAATGGACCTCCCGAATATGGATAAATAAATCAAAATTCGGTGGATAATAAATCAAATGTCACATTCATTTAACTGGTCCATGACATGCACGGCTCGATTCCCATATTCACGAATATATCATATTTGTCTTTTGAAAACCCCCCCAACCAATCTTATTATTCTTCTTATGAACAATGAGCATGTATAAGTTATTCACTGGTCTTTATTTATGTAGATTTAAGCAATTTCACTTGTGTTGTAAAAGCTTGTACTTAATTTAGCCCGTGTAATAGTAGTCGTAAAGTTAGAGATCAAAGTTAGCAAAAAAAAGTTATAAATAGAAAGAGAAGTTAATATATTTTCAGTGCCTCCTTTCAT